GGGAGACAGGAGCCTACTGCACTAGTGAAGGGAGCTCAACCTGGGGTGTTGGGAGTGGAAGGGAGAGTGGTGGTGGTGCTGGGCGCTACGCAGCAGGGAAGAGGAACTGGGCAGAGAGGAACAAGGAGGTGTCGGGAGGAGGGCCAGGTTCAGGCTGGAGATGAGGGTCATTGGGGAGGAGGAGATACAGTAGCACCTGTGCTGCGGCCTACAGTTGAAGACTGCTTCCTTTCCTCTCTCCCCCCAGTGCTTGCATTTCTGGCTACCCTTTAGCGCCCCACTCATCCATGTATATCTGGAGGACTACCAGGACCCTCCCCGAGATGATGGGGCGGGGAGTGCAGAGATGCGGAACCAACCGGAAGTCACTGAAGCTTAGGGGGCTCCAAAGGGTCTGGGTCTGTGCCTCACACTCACCTGAGGGCAGCAGACCTTCTTGCTCTGGGGGGACTTCCGGCCGGAGTATCTCCTAGAAGTGAGGAAAGAAAAATCTCTTCCTAGGGAAGAGAAAAAAAGTAGTTCTTCAGTTCCTTCTTGTCTTGGGGGTGACACTGCAGAGGAGGAGCTTTGAGACAGCCCCCCTCCCTGGAGGCAACAGCAACAGCGAGGGGACTGGCCTCTGACAAAGCAGAGCCTCTCGGTCATTCCACCTGCTGAGTGACCTCGGGCAAATTACCTAACATCTCTGATCCTGTTAAAGAGTGTGAATACTAACTACCTTGAAGGGCTGATGAGCCGATTAAAGAAAATGATGTATGCAGAGTACACAGGGCAAGCACTCAACCCATAAGAAAAAACAAAAAAAGCACTGGCTTCAAAAGAAAAACAAAAACTCAGAACTTTGCACAATTGAAATGAATAAATGTTGGACTAAACACTTAAAAGAGTAACAATCTATCAACCTCTTAAGATGTTAAATTTAATATTCATTGAAATGTCATTAAATTTGAAGACAATTTCCAGGTTAGATTGTTTTTTTCACTTTGAAATTCCTCTGTGTCCATGACGACTGCTGGGAAAGCAAACCTTTTGAGTCAGTAGCTGCAAATGCTTAGAAAAATAAATGGTGGCTATTATAATTGCCAGCTGATAACTGCAGCCATACTGTTCCCTCAGGGCTGCCAGGTATGCTCTTCCCTTGTGCCCTGGACCAGGACTTCTCAAACTGGAATGTGCTTACAGATCCCTGGGAGACCCTGGCAAACTGCAGGCTCTGCTTTAGTCGATCTAGAGAGACGCCGATGCTGCTGGTCCTTGGACCACACTTAGAGCAGCGAGTCTTTGCCACACCACGGGAGCCACGTGGGGCAGAGAGGTGAAGGCCCAGCAGCCTGCCTCCTGAGCCAGGAAACCAACCCCAGGGAGGAGGCCTCACGGGACAGGGGGATGCTGAAGCACCCTGTCCTCCTCCCCTACCCATTCTATTTCCGCTCTTTTCAGCTGGCACCTAAGAGCGATGGTGTTTGCTTACACGAGGGTGGCTCTCCTACCCCCAACCCTGTTAATTCCTCCAGCACACCTTTCTCTACTCTGTTTTCACTTCTGTATCACCTTCCCTGAAATCTGGGTCCCCCCCTTTTACCACCTGATGTTAATAGCTGTTTCTAAGTTCACTAAGAGGGTTTTTTTGGGAGGCGGATGATGAGAATGTTTTGGAATTAATGGTGATGTGAATATACTAAAAATCACTGAATTATACATTTCAAAAGGGTTAATTTTATGTTATATAAATTAGGTTTCAATAAAGCCGATATATAAAGATCACCAACAACCTAACTGTATGATTCCATGGCTTCCTCCTAGGCCTTGTTCTGGGGTACTCTCTGTAGTAGCTGGCACCACTGACCATCCCTCAGTAGAGCCCACCTTGGCTGCTACAGCCCTATTCTTTCTGGGCTCCTCCTGCCTCTGATTTCTCCCTCTGCCGCCTCCTGCGTGTAGGAGGTCCCCAAGGCTCTGACCTCAGCCTCCTTGTCTCCTCCCTTCTTTGATATTCCCATTTAGAGGTAATTTCTACAAACACATCTATCTGAATAAATCCTCAGGTGGGAGTCCCAGCCCCGATCTCTCCCCTAGCCGTATCACCAACAATGTCTTAGACATCTCCACCTGATGTTCCATCCTTCCCTCAAACTCATCACCTAAAATTGAACGTATAGACTTTCTCCACAGACCTGATCCTCCTCTCAATTTCTCACTTCTAAATGGAACATCTACAAATGCTGGCTGCTAGATGCTTAGAGCTGCTTAGAATCTGGAACCTGGCCCAGCCCCAGTCTCCTCCTGGCCTGTCCTACTGTGCTTGAAAGCTCTTCAATTTCCATGAGTTTCCATCTTGCTTATGGCTTCACGTCCATCTTCACAACTGTGCAGAAAAGCGTTAACACAGCAGTCCTGGCTACTGTCCCTGAAAAGTCCTGATTGCAAGCTTGGCCCTTGATTGGCATCTGGGAATGTAGCTTTCAGGAGGGCTCCCACCACTGATAAGAGTGGTTCACTGTGCCTAAACTGTCGGTGCAAACAATGTGGTTTATGCTGAATACTCACTTTTCTTCTGGAAGTTTGGAATCTGGGTATGTGACCACACAGGGGAGCGCCTATGTGATCAGGCCCCAGGAAAACCCTGGGCACTGGATCCCTAACGAGCTCCTCTGACAGGCAACATTTCACACCTGTTGTCACAACTCGCTGGGGGAATTAAAGTGGGTCCTGTGTGACTGCGGGAAAGGACTCTCGCAAGCTTGTTCCTGGTTTTACTGGACTTTGCTCCACGTGTCTTTTCCATTTATTTATTTATGTATTTATTTATTTTTTGCGGTACGCGGGCCTCTCACTGTTGCGGCCTCTCCCGTTGTGGAGCACAGGCTCCAGATGCGCAGGCTCAGCGGCCATGGCTCACGGGCCCAGCCGCTCCGCGGCATGTGGGTTCTTCCCGGACCGGGGCACGAACCCGTGTCCCCTGCATCGGCAGGCGGACTCTCAACCACTGCGCCACCAGGGAAGCCCTGTCTTTTCCCTTTGCAGATTGTGCTTTGTGCCCTTTCACTGCAATAGATCACAGCAGTGAGTACGACTACACAGTGAGTCCTGCGTGTGTCCTAGGGAATTACTGAAAGTTAATGTGGCCTTGGGGACAATTCCCCCACCCTAGTTTATCCTAGCCACAATCCTAACTGCAGTTTTCCAGGCTTCAGAAAGAGGGTCTTTAGGGGACACCTCACCCAACTTCCCACCCAACACGGAACCTTTTAGGCAGCATGTGGCAGCTCTGCCAGGGCCCTCCAGGGATAGGAAGCTCACCACAGTGAGACAGCACTGCCTCTTAGGAGGTCCCTCCTTCCTGCCGAGCACCCTTGCTTTCCCCGAGGGTGTTAGACTGAGGGAGGGGAATGGTTTAACTGGTCAGAGAGGCCAGACTGACCGAAGCAGGAGACTGATTAGCCTATCTGGACAAAATCCTGGCTCCCCAACTGTGCTGGAAAACCCTGGGCACACGAACCTCTCTGCACCTCAATTCTTGCTGTAAGATGGAGGTGACACGATTTCTCAAAAAGCTGCGGTGGGGAATGACACAAGTCAAACAGTGGCTGGTGCAGAGAACGACGTGTGCATTAGCATTATTTTTATTCGGATTACTGCTATGTGCTCAGATACATGCTCTTTGACAGTATGAACTGTTTTCACCATATTTAAGAAAAAAAACCTCTCCTCACTCCTATCCCCTCCAAAGGGTCCTAGATGTTGCTACAGGGGTTTGATTAGCCAGATGTTGTCTGCCCCCTGGGTCCTACTGACCATTAAAGACAAGGCTTTGCTGCATCCCTGGGGTGCCCCATAAAAAGGGGCAGACAGCCCCCAGCTGGAGGATGTAAATTTATCCTAACCCAAGGTGGCGTCTCCCTGGCTTCACAGTCCTGAGTTGAATCCTGGTTTAGCCACCCACGGGCTGGCTGCCCATCACGGTCCTTTCACTGTTGCCACGAGGACTGCCTCTGTTCCCTCAGTGCCTCTGGGTCTTCTCACTTGCTGTCCCCTCTGCCTGGAACACAGTGGTCCCCCGCTTCACCTGCCACGTACTGACCTTCTCAGGGCTGGCCTGGGTCCCCCTCCTGCTGCTGCCTCAGCACCCTGTATACCTGTCACCAGTGCCCAGTCCACTGTAGGATAACTGACCTCGATTTCCCACTAGACCACACAGCGGAGGCTGTGCTTGCCTCCACGCCGTGTTCCCAGTGTTTATTTAGCACAGCGCCTGGCACGTGGTGCTCTTTACGTGTCTGTTAAGTGCTAAAAGAAAGTTGGCTTTGGGCAAGTTGCTTCTCTGAACTCTGGTTTCCTCACCTGTGAAGGGGATTTAATGAGTACTTCAGCTGGCCGTTGTGAGGATTAAATCAAAAGGATACTCGCGGGGCTTCACTGGTGGCGCAGTGGTTGAGAGTCTGCCTGCCGATGCAGGGGACACGGGTTCGTGCCCCGGTCCGGGAGGATCCCACATGCCAGGGAGCAGCTAGGCCCATGAGCCATGGCCACTGAGCCTGTGCGTCTGGAGCCTGTGCTCCCAACAGGAGAGGCCACAACAGTGAGAGGCCCGCGTACCGCAAAAAAAAAAAAAAAAAAAAAAAGGATACTTGAGGCTTCCCTGGTGGTGCAGTGGTTGAGAATCTGCCTGCCAATGCAGGGGATGTAGGTTCGAGCCCTGGTCTGGGAAGATCCCACATGCCGCGGAGCAACTAAGCCCGTGCGCCACAACTACTGAGCCTGCGTTCTAGAGCCCACCAGCCACAACTACTGAGCCCATGTGCCACAACTACTGAAGCCTGCGTGCCTACAGCCCATGCTCCACAAGAGAAGCCACTGCAATGAGAAGCCCACGCACTGCAACGAACAGTGGCCCTGTTCACTGCGACTAGAGAAAGCCTACACACAGCAACAAAGACCCAATGCAGCCAAAAATAAAAAAATAAAATAAATAAATTTATATATATAAAAAAAGGATACCTGGTACCTGGCACATGGTAGACACCAAATAACTGACATCTACTATTTTAAAATTCCCACACGTCCCAGCACTTCTGGTGTGCTGACTCTACAGTTGCTAAGCATTAACATTTCAGTCATTTTGGAGGCTAGTTTGGGGTACGTGAGAGAGAACCAGGCCTGAGGATTTCTGTATTAGGGCCCCTCCCAGCCCAGACTAGATGGTAGCTGGGTGTGGCAGGGGACAGAGGGGACGGAAGTCCCTAGCTGGCACCTTACCCTTCAGCAGTCTTTTTCTCTGCAACATTAATTCTTCTCTCCGGAATCTCTCTGGATCCAGTTTCGAGTAGTCCCAGCTATTATAGCTGTGTGGGCAAGGATATATACCTAAGAGGGAGTCAAGAGTGATCATGAAAACTTCTGCAAAAGAGAAAGGGAGGCAGAAAATGGAAGACAGAGGCCTCTGAGATGCCCCTGTTGGTCCCGGGGAGGCTGGGCTTCCAGCATTATCCCTCCTCCCTCCCCCCAGTACTGGCCTTGTAGCCTTGAGTGAGCCACTTCCTCTCTATGAGACCTTGGTTTCTTCATCTGGAAAATGGAGATGTGATGCCCACCCTGCCCTCCTGACAGTGTGAGTGTGACGATGAGATCACACCACAGACGTGTGAACCTGTGACACGCTACACAGATGTGAAGGCATAGTAATTATTTGTTTTCCTGTCTATCTCCTCTGCCTGGAAGGCAGGGGCTGGGTCTGATTCATCTTTGTACCTCCAGGGCTTAGTATTGGACCTGGCACACAATAAATAGGCACTTAGTAAATGTTTGCTCAACATACTATTACACTTTGCTGGGCTACCCTGGTGGCTCAGTGGTTAAGAATCTGCCTGCCAATGCAGGGGACACGGCTTCAAGCCCTGGCCTGGGAAGATCCCATGTGCCGCCGAGCAACTAAGCCCGTGTGCCACAACTACTGAGCCTGTGCTCTAGAAACCGCGAGCCATAACTACTGAGCCCATGTGCCACAACTATTGAGCCCGTACACCTAGAGCCCGTGCTGTGCAACAAGAGAAGCCACTGCAATGAGAAGCGTGCGCACCACAACAAAGAGTAGCCCCCGCTCGCCGCAACTAGAGAAAGCCTGCACACAGCACCAAAGACCCAACACAGCCAAAAATAAATAAATAAATAAATAAATAAATTTAGGGAAAAAACCCATACTATTACACTTTGCTAAGTACCGGAAATGGCTTTGCGCCAAATATTCAATGGCGACACTTATGGGGCTAATATTTTTCTTTTAAGGGAACCATGTGTTTCAGAGTCTTGATTTCTTGGAGCCTGAATCCTCAGATATTAGAGAAATTCCACTATCTGTCTCAGTTCTTCGATTTAGGAAGGAAAAGACCAAAGATTACTTGAAAAAATTTGAGCCCTTATGCAAAGCTGCTGTCTTCATTGGACAAAGCAAGCAGACAGGAGGTTCATTACTGGGTGTGGATTAGGGGAAGGAGGCACAGTCTTGGACAAAAAGGGGAATAGGAAGAAGGAACAGAAAGAAAAGAGTCAGAGAATGGGAGGCAAAACGGCAGTGGTCAAAGACCTAGCTTTGCAGTGGGACAGCCTGGGTCTGAATACCTGCTCCCGCATTTGTTTCCTTTAGGACTTCTTTGATGCTGCATATGTTAGAAGGACTGAATAGATGTGCAGAAAATAGTCAACATAGCAGTCTCAAGCCTACTGTCCTTAAAAAAGCCTGCTTGCAAGATTGGTCCTTGGTTGGCATCTGATATAAAACTTTCCCTAACTACCTAGGAGAAATAGATACATTCCTAGAAACATACAACCTACTAAGACTGAATTATCAAGAAATAGGGAATGTGGCTCAAGATGGCAGAGGAGTAAGACGTGGAGATCACCTTCCTCCCCACAAATACATCAGAAATACATCTACACGTGGAACAACTCCTACAGAACACCTACTGAATGCTGGCAGAAGACCTCAGACTTCCCAAAATGCAAGAAACTCCCCATGTACCTGGGTAGGGCAAAAGAAAAAAGAAAAACCAGAGACAAAAGAATAGGGACGGGACCTGCACCTCTGGGAGGGAGCTGTGAAGGAGGAAAAGTTCTCACACACCAGGAAATCCCTTCACGGGTGGAGACTGCGGGAGGCGGAGGGGGGCAGCTTCGGAGCCGCGGAGGAGGGCGCAGCGACAGGGGTGCGGAGGGCAAAGCGGAGAGATTCCCGCACAGAGGACCGGTGCCGACCGGCGCTCACCAGCCCGAGAGGCTTGTCTGCTCACCCGCCGGGGCGGGTAGAGGCTGGGAGCTGAGGCTCAGGATTCGGAGGAGGTCGGAGCGCAGGGCGAGGACTGGGGTTGGCGGCGTGAACACAGCCTGAAGGGGGCTAGTGCACCACAGCTAGCTGGGAGGGAGTCCGGGGGAAAAGTCTGGAGCTGCCGAAGAGGCAAGAGACCATTGTTTCCTGGTGCGCGAGGAGAAGGGATTCAGAGCACCGCCTAAACAAGCTCCAGAGACGGGCGTGAGCTGCGGCTATCAGCGCGGACCCCAGAGACGGGCATGAGACGCTAAGCCTGCTGCTGCCGCCACCAAGAAGCCTGTGTGCGAGCGCAGGCCACTCTCCACACCTCTCCTCCCGGGAGCCTGTGCGGCCCGCCACTGCCAGGGTCCCGTGAGCCAGGGACAACTTCCCCAGGATAACACACGCCGGCCTCTGCCGCCTACAGGCTCGCCCCGCACTCCGTACTCCTCCCTCCCCCCAGCCTGAGTGAGCCAGAGCCCCCTAATCAGCTGCTCCTTTAACCCCGTCCTATCTGGGTGGGGAACAGACGCCCTCACGTGACCTACATGCAGAAGCTGGGCCAAATCCAAAGCGGAGCCCCTGGGAGCTGTGCGAACAAAGAAGAGAAAGGGAAATCTCTCCCAGCAGCCTCAGGAGCAGTGGAGTAAAGCTCCACAATCAACTTGATGTACCCTGCCTCTGTGGAATACCTGAATAGACAGCGAATCATCCCAAATTGAGGAGGTGGTGGACTTTGGGAGCAACTGTAGACTTGCGGTTTGCTTTCTGAGTCTAATTTGTTTCTGGTTTTATGTTTACCTTAGTTTAGTATTTAGAGCTTATTATTATTGGTAGATTCGTTTATTGATTTGGTTGCTCTTTTTATATATTTTTTTCCTTTTCTCTTTTTGTGAGTGTGTATGTGTATGCTTTTTTCTGTGATTTTGTCTATATAGCTTTGCTTTTACCATTTGTCCTAGGGTGCTGTCTGTCCGTTTGTTTTTTTTAGTATAGTTTTTAGCTCTTGTTATCAATGGTGGATTTGTTTTCTGGTTTGGTTGCTCTCTTCTTTCTTTCTTTTTAAATTTTATTACTTTTCAATTTTTTTATTTTTAATAATAATTTTTTATTTTAATAACTTTACTTATTTTTCTTTCCTTCTTTCTTTCTTTTTTCTCCCTTTTCTTCTGAGCTGTGTGGCTGACAGGGTCTTGGTGCTCTGGCCAGGATCAGGCCTGAGCCTCTGAGGTGGGAGAGCCGAGTTCAGGACACTGGTCCACCAGAGACCTCCTGGACCCAAGTAATATCAAACGGCGAAAGCTCTCCCTGTCTCAATGGTAAGACCCAGCTCCACTCAATGACCAGCAAGCTACAGTGCCAGATACCCTATGCCAAACAACTAGCAAGACAGGAACACAACCCCACCCATTAGCAGAGAGGCTGCCTAAAATCATAATAAGTTCACAGACACCCCAAAACACACCACCGGATGCGGTCCTGCCCACCAGAAAGACAAGATCCAGCGTCATCCACCAGAACACAGGCACCAGTCCCCCCCACCAGGAAGCCTACACAACCCACAGAACCAACCTCACCCACTGGGGGCAGACATCAAAAACAGTGGGAACTACAAACCTGCAGCCTGAGAAAAGGAGACCCCAAACACAGTAAGATAAGCAAAATGAGAAGACAGAGAAATACGCAGCAGATGAAGGAGCAAGATAAAAACCCACCAGACCAAACAAATGAAGAGGAAATAGGAAGTCTACCTGAAAAAGAATTCAGAGTAAAGACAGTAAACACGATCCAAAATCTTGGAAATATAATGGAGAAAATACAAGAAACATTTAACAAGGACCCAGAAGAACTAAAGAGCAAACAAACAGTGATGAACAACACAATAAATGAAATTAAAAATTCTCTAGAAGGAATCAATAGCAGAATAACTGAGGCAGAAGAAGGGATAAGTGACCTGGAAGATAAAATAGTGGAAATAACTACTGCAGAGCAGAATAAAGGAAAAAGAATGAAAAGAATTGAGGACAGTCTCAGAGACCTCTGGGACAACATTAAATGCACCAACATTCAAACTATAGGGGTCCCAGAAGAAGAAGAGAAAAAAAAAGGACCAGAGAAAATATTTGAAGAGATTATCGTTGAAAACTTCCCTAATATGGGAAAGGTAACAGTCAATCAAGTCCAGGAAGCACAGAGAGTCCCATACAGGATAAATCCAAGGAGAAACACACCAAGACACATATTAATCAAACTATCAAAAATTAAATACAAAGAAAAAATATTAAAAGCAGCAAGGGGAAAGCAACAAATAACATACAAGGGAATCCCCATAAGGTTAACAGCTGATCTTTCAGCAGAAACTCTGCAAGCCAGAAGGGAGTGGCAGGACACATTTAAACTGATGAAAGGGAAAAACCTACAACCAAGATTACCCAGCAAGGATCCCATTCAGATCTGACTGAGAAATTCAAACCTTTACAGACAAGCAAAAGCTAAGAGAATTCAGCACCACCAAACCAGCTTTACAACAAATGCTACAGGAACTTCTCTAGGCAGGAAACACAAGAGAAGGAAAAGACTTACAATAACAAACCCAAAACAATTAAGAAAATGGTAATAGGAACATACATATCGATAATTACCTTAAATGTAAATGGATTAAATGTTCCAATCAAAAGACATAGAGTGGCTGAGTGGACACAAAAACAAGACCCGTAAATATGCTGTCTAAAAGAGACCCACTTCAGACCTAGGGACACATACAGACTGAAAGTGAGGGGATGGAAAATGATATTCCATGCAAATGGAAATCAAAAGAAAGCTGGAGTAGCAATTCTCATATCAGACAAAATAGACTTTAAAATAAAGACTATTACAAGAGACAAGGAAGGACACTACATAATGATCAAGGGATCAATCCAAGAAGAAGGTATAACAATTGTAAATATTTATGCACCCAGGGACTTCCCTGGTGGCACAGTGGTTAAGAATCTGCCTGCCAATGCAGGGGACACAGGTTCGAGCCCTGGCCTGGGAAGATCCCACATGCTGCAGAGGAACTAAG